ATGTTGTTGTGAACTTTTTGTGTGAAGCGGCAATAATGCCTTGGCAAAAATGTCACATACTTGGCACCCAACATAGTTAGAACCCATCCTTCCTGTGCAGGCTTCTGCATATGCCCCACGTTCTGTTGCTTTGCTTTGCCCTCATAATGACTCAAATTGCAGTTAACGTTTGCCAGCGCCTCGCCGATCATTCCCTTTTTGTCTTGCCCCTCCACGTCGACTGCCGCCAAACAACCTGGGGTTTATATCTTCCAGCAGTGGCAGAGGCCACTGCCACGAGATCCGAGGAACCCAACACCGTGGGAACTCTAGCGTACGAGAAGGCAGGAGAGGTTCCAAAGCATCAGGGAATAGAGCACCTGCATTCGCACAAATTGCGTAAACATTGCGGTGCACTGTTGACTTCATGTAGCCGGAAGCGACGTCCGCATGCCGCGAGGGGCCACGAGCAGTTAGGTGTCTGCATGCGTCTTGAAAGACGAACAGTCATACTGATTATCGAAGTACAGGATCTAACGCTTCGACTATAAGAACTAAACAGCTTTTGAAAACGCATGCATGAGTGAATCCTTTAAAGGGAGCTTCTAGACTCGACATATGTTATCGTTGTGTAAGTAACTGCCCTTGCTATCACTGTTTGAGCTCAGTAAACCTCGTTCTGCCCCCTGCCAGTTTTACAATTATCATGTGTTGAGAGTCTAATTTAGCGTTTAGGGATTACGAGGGTTGTGGACTCGTTGTGTAGTGCCTTTTGTGCTTACCAAAGACAATAATGGAGACAATTACAATGGTCCAACCGAAGAGAATATAAGCCGTAGCTACGCTGAAGCCTTCTGCCTGTTGTAAAGCCTTGGGGAAGGTCCCAACGCAGTGTTCTACGAGCTCCACGAGCAACCAGGGAGTTGCAACAAACTTGAAAAGCCAACCCCAAAGCATGGGCACAGGCCGGCACGGATTCCCAGATAGCGCCATGTTCAGGTCAGCTCGCAAAATTTCTACATTCCCGATGAAAGCCCAGTAGAGGTTGCTTCGCAGCAAGCGCACAAATAAGCTAATCACGGCAAACATCTCTCGAACCCGCGCCTGAACCCAAGCCGCCCTTCGGATTTGCTGCCGAGGGTGGCCATGCTTAAAGCCTTTCCTCTGGGGCTGCAGAAGACGCGAATGAGTAACTTTTGGAGGTAGTGATTCCTCTCCCATACAGAGAAGCGAGCCAGGACGTTCCAGAGACCAAATCTTGGAGTGAACGAAATGCTGATCCTCCCGAGAGTTACACGAAGAGCCGCCATCCCGTGCTAGGAAAGGCATTGTCCGGGCGCGGAGGGATAGGCTACGGGCTCCAGAGCGGTGGAGGCCCTTGCGGGGTACACGCGTTCCTGGTGGGCGTCTGTTGCGTTTTGCAGGGGGTCCCCTGTGCTGCTCCAGTATATCTCGCAGGTTGTGGGCCGTCTGAACGGATACAATTAAGACGGTAAGTCCAATGAAGGCCCAAGGTAGCCACAGCAACATGACAAGGGACACTGACAAGTCAACGGAAAACAGAACGCGCACCAGTGGTACCAACATCATAGATACAGAGCTCAAACCCAGTACTAGGAGCGGTAGGATCCCAACCCGCTGTGCCTGTTCCCTGAAACCGAACAACCATGCCAAATGAATGCACGTAACACTCCCCAACAAAAGCCGTAAGAACATATCTGTGTGTCGCATCATGTGGAAGTGCAGTGGAGCTGTAAACCGCGGGTTCTCCGCCGTGTCAGCCGGCAGGCTGCAGCAAACCAGAAGGGCTGACACAGTGGCAGGGGGCCCGTAGACAATGCACGCTAGCAGAAATTTTTTCAACCTGTAGCCCTTTTTTCCTGCCTCGCCCCGCCGATGCTTTTCGGGGTCTTCAGCGTCCGGCCCACCCCACCAGGACAGAGGCGCATTGGTCATAGCCTCCTGCTTCGCATCAAACATATCTTGTGGATCCACATCTTCATAGGTATCCCCTGCACTCCTACGTAACAGGCGGTTGAGGGACCACACCAAACGGCTTAACGCGCCCCTCCCATTGGCGCTGCCAGAAATTTTTTCATCTTTCGAAGAGGACCGGCGCTGCCTCACGTGGCAACCCTCTAGCGGCTTTTTCTGGGTACTCCCAGGTTTCTGGGAGAGCCCTGAGGGATTTTCCTGGGGCACTGCATCGTTTCGCAGGGGCCCTAAAACAGCATTCGTAGGATAAGGCTCTGCATCCCTCCTGGGGACGCTCATGTCTCTGTCTCTGGACTCAGCGGCACGGGGTAGAGAAAGAAGTAGTCCTCGCGGATCCGATAGACACTCGTGCACCTTGGGCGGGACTGTTAGCCACCTCATGTCCTGCAGGACGGACCACTGTACCATCATGAGACACCAGCAGCTGGAAAGCCGCTGCGCAAATATCGCCACAAAAGATATGAGTCCCAGAAACCACGCTTGAGGCCACATGCGCGTTACCACATACCACATTACAGGGAAAGCCGTGCTTCCAGGACCCCCAGCTGTCATCCACCGAAACATGCTTGGGAGAAACATACCATTGAATGCTGCGGAAACACTCAACACAGACTCAATACTCATACATACGCGCTGCACAAATCGTCATCAAAGCACAACAGACATGTAATCAACCCACACGAATACCATCCAACGCACAACCAGAAACGCATCGTAGATCACAGGGACCACCGCGGCCTACCCAGCATGCAAATTGCATACCTAATATCTACAACCGAAAACAAAAACTGGCTTCAGTTGCCACATTCAGTATACACACCATAAACACCATAAAAAAATAATCAGCAGTGTATTCTCTAACCAGCTGATATCTCCCTTGAGGCGGGAAGCCCTCAGTTTAGCGCAGAATCTGAATTTTACAGCTCGGGGCGCTATTAACCTCATAACCGTTAAAGGACCACTTCTGGAGAACTCCCCTGAAGAAGCTGTGCGGCTGACGCTGCGGCAACGTGCGGACTATGCCAGTCTGGCATCTCACACTGTGGGTCTGAGGAGAGTCCCTCTGCGTAGAATAAAAGGTAGAAGAGCATGTATGCGACAAGCCACTTTGAGGTGAGACAGACGAAGCCGATAAGAACAGGGTTGTGTGAGGGTTTGTCGAAAGAGGCCACCGTCAGGGCTGCGCCATCGCCAGGCATGTAGAGGAGTAACGGCAGCATCAGCAAACAAAAATATTCTTCCTGAAGCGGCATCTCATGGCTAAGCACTTTAAATATGTCTGTCAGGTGTTTTTTCTGCTCTGCCGAAGTCATCTCCATCAGCGCCAACGCAGGTAGCAGAATAAAGATACATGGGAAGACGCAAGCGCCGACCGCAGCCAACACACGAGGCGCCTGAAATTGCAAAAAGCACAGCAATGCAGCAATGAAATATATGGGAGAAGCCGTTTTGCATAGCCTCCACACAGACAGCCGGGGAAGCGTACAACTTAGTCAGCCTATGTATGTGCATACAAACTTATGTGCGCGCTTGAACAAATGAAGGCACTGACAAGTAATACAAAATATGCTGTAGCAAACACTACACAGTAATGTGCAGGCTTCATGAATGTGCCTGATGTACCGTTTACTCGTGCATGCCGAATATGCTATTGGTGTTTTGTGAACACTCGAGGTGAGCTTCACATTTTGCGCATTTTGTGCTTGTGGGGAACATCACAAAACCAATCCCTATTTGGATTTTAGGAATGGTTGGCAGCATTAATGCATCTGCCGAAAACCAAAAGAACGTAGAAGGGGAAATGAGGCGGTACTAACCTGAGTTAGGGCGTATGTGACAAGTACCCATATGGCGAGGCAGCATGCTACTTTATAAACCCTTGTCGTCGTGTCTGTTGAGGTCAGTAGGTGTAACCAAGACGCGTTAATGTAAACTTCTAGTGCAGCCAAACAGCCACCTGTTGAATCCACCGCGCATCGGGGGTCAGCAGCGCATCTGAATGCACAAAAACAAAAGAACAAGATTTCATCTTCTTCTAGACAGATTCTCCGTCTCTCTCGCTATTTTTCGTGACCTATTATTCGTCTTCTTGATACTGGGCCTAAAAGTTTTGATTCCAACAAACGAAACTCAATCATTTGGAATCAGTTGATAACTTACTCTGCAGCCGACAGATTTGCGCATATGTTTCGGAAGGTATCATTGCTCATCCAATTTGACAGAGTGCTTATGGAGGTGGTAAGAAAATGGAAGACAAGACAAGTTACGTATGTCTGAAGCACTGCTGCCACAGTGCAGCTCGCAGCCATCGCCAAACCCAACCCCCGAAGACGTTTGTGCAGGCTATTCAAAGCACTTAGCACCGAACCTTGCGTTGACTGACCTGAGTGGTCACCGACAGCAATAGCAGCTTAAGCACAATTAATCATCAGCAACAGCAGGATAGAGGTGGCGATATAAACGAAGCAGCACCAAATAAGCACTTGTCGCTGTATGACATGGTACTTCATGGCGCGTTGAGCTCCTCCCTAAAAGAAGAGAGTGCTGTTCTGCACTGGGTGAGTAGGAAGGATTCGCCGAGTCAGTGGACCTACCAAGTGCAATGTCGGCGATCATAATAGGTAGGGAGCAGAAGCATGTCAGGAGAAATGCCCACGCGATAAAACGAAGACCACCCATTTCAAAGGCTGCCAACGGGATGTCTTCAAGACTGCTCTGTCTTTGCGTGACACAAATAAAGAGAAAGATTGTGAGGATTGAACCACCAATCCGAACGCGACCAGTTACTGCACCCGCACACATGGACACTCCCTATCAGCGCCCATCCAAAAGCAACGCAAAGGAAAAGAAAAATTAAAAAGTAAAGGACAAACAGAGCTAGTAGCATCGCAGCGCTACATGCAGTGAAGGTTACTGCGGCGCTGCAGCGTGCATCATGCAGAATGACGCGTCGTAAGCACCAGAGGGGTCTACAGCTTAAATGCATTCATGAATACGTCTTGAAAATGACAAGCCCTGAGAGTGTTTTATGAAACTTTGTCTGTGAGCGCACCTGCGTCCTTGTACTTTTGTTCCTTGTCGACTGCAGACTCGGCGCTGGCCTTCATCTTCGCGTAAATGTTTGTGTGGGGAAACCAGCGGGCCGCCTCATGGGCCATTGCCAACTGCATACTTGCTGAGGCTTCGTTGTCAGATTGCGTGCTGGAGCTATCCGTGCCTGTGTAGGAGTCGGAGCCGGTTTCAGTGTCCCAGGGGCCATCATCCGCTGGGTTACCAGCGGAATCCCGGGACCCTAGTCGCGCGTCTCCCCCAGACCAGCGAGGCCCATACAGCCAGGCCCTGTAGTCGGCTCCCTCATGTGATACTGACAATCGCCGATCTCGGGACGCCTCGTAAGAGGATGTCGGTTTTCTCTGTATCTCCGCCGAGTCGGAGGGCCAACGATGGCTTTGACGGGGCCCCTCTGAGGGCCGTCGTGGGCCACGGAGGATCGAACGAGGCTTGGAAGGAGGCAGTGGCGATTTTGTACTTAGCTCGAGAGACCCAACAGCAGAGGATGGTTCACGACGCGGAGGATGGCTGGGGCATGCGGGATTCCGCGTAATGGGGGCGGCAGGGCCTTGAGTAGGTCCCTCAGCGCAAAGAGTGGATTGAATATGAGGTTTCAGGTGGTCTGCTGGGCTTTGTGTGCAGTTTGGATTCAAAGGGTGCGCGGGGCGGCTCGGCGTGGCTGTGGCCTGCCAAGCGCGGCCCCCCGTGCCCGTCATGGCACCAGCAGTAAAGAACCTCGCCTGGTAATAGTTGTTAAATATATTCAAATGGAACTGAAGTACTTCAATTCAATGACGAGGAGGCAGCCTCGCTACGAACAGACCCTGGGAACCACAATGTGGGTCACGCAAGTCGACAGGCTGTTGTCCACTGTAAGGGGGAGGGAGAAAGTAACCCTTCTGCCATGACTAAAATGAATTATGGATCCCAAAAATTAGTTTTAAATGTGTGCTAACAAACGGGGACGACAGAGGTAGCCCTCCAGTCTCTGACTGGTGGAATGAGTGCTGAGCCGGGCCGGGCCGATGGTGTCCCGCAGCAGTTCGTCGATGCAAGGGGCTGCGTGAAGACGGCGCGGCCTACACAGGCGTATGAACAGGATTAAATACAAAGACCAGCATACAATAAATAAGGCAAATCCCTAAAGTACTCCAAACCTTCAATTGGCGCCATCTGGACGACACAGGAGGGAGGAGGGCGGGGGCCGGCAGCGAGCAGGTAGCCGGCGCAGCCCTCCTTGGATGCTAGTTAAGGACAAAGCATAATCTCTTTGTGTGTATAGACCTTCTCAGTCTTATGCAATGAACTGTGGGGCTTCCGAAGTCGCGACGTCCGTGGGCTAGCTGTTGCCATTCCGTGTGGTGGATGCCAAGCACGTGAAGAGTCAATGCAGCCAAATCATTCCTATAAGGTCACTTAACATTTAATCACTTACTTTCTACCTTATGTGTACACCAGGAACTGTTAGTGAACTTCCTTCCGATTGCCTTCAGGTCTAGCTGGTGGCAGACGGCAGACGCTATTGTGTGCAAACAAACAACAAGAGAGTTATCCATTTCACTAAAGAAGCCCCTCCTGGTGTACTACACCCCTGAAATTGAAACACGAAGCAGGAGATCTTGCTGCCCTCCTACGCAGAACATGCGACAGCCTCAGTAGAGATGGAGGGCGCCACACGTATCTACACAAACTGCTCCATGTTCAGACAGGAGCAAAGAAGACAACAACCGACAGGCAAAGCTATTCTTCATGCTTAAGTAAAGTCATTTTAAGCCTTTGAGGCCTAAGGGCAGTCAGTTTTGCAAGGCTGCGAAGTTGCATGAAACAAGTAACTGGTGGCTGTGGGCAGCAGCATTGCCACGCGGCACAAGATTTGACTGGACTAGTTCAAAAGCTTTCTGAAAAAATTTAATAACAGCTCCGAATTATACAGTCCCTGCATCTGACAGACTATGGGTCTTCCGTGTTGTGAATAAGCACAACAACAGATTCTAAACGAACAAATGAGCTTCGGCTGGAAGACGAAGGTCTAAAGTTGGATTCTTGGAGATGATGTGCTGTCAGCTGGCACTCTGGAAAAGCCTTTCTAGTGGATTTCACAGTTCCTCTAAATGTTGGCAAACAGTATTACATAAAACATTCAACACATATTATGTTCTCCTCTATAGCTTCTCGTGTCCTCAACTACCATGCGTGTTGACCCACGTGCATATGTACCCAGGTGAAAATATTCTGTACATAACGATGCACTCGTTATATGTGCAGCTATGTATATAAAGTTGCCCATGTGCACTAAAGGCCTTCCTCACGCGAAGAGGCTTTGCTCGAATAAAGGCAGACAGATACAGAATCATGTGCCTAGGAATGTACAGAACAGTGTTCATCCATAAACGTGACTCTTAAAACCATACTCACAATTGCTCAAGTAAATGCAATTCCCCATCTTCACCGGAATAAACTGTGGAAAGTTGACACTTTTAGCACAAGTACGAATGAGCGCACGACTGTTTCTGGCGGTGCGTCCTATGTGGTAAGCAGCTGTCGAGCGTGGGAAGTTCTCCATTTTCCGTTGGCAATAAACGTGAGGCATAAGTAAAGGATCCCACTCTCGAGAGCAGCTGTTACGTTTGTCGCTCTTCTAATTATTCGTTGGTTGCTGCTTGGATCATTTTCTTTTTGTCCTTGCCAGCTCCCTTGCGTTTGAGGTGTCAGTATTTGCTGTGTCCTGTATCTGTTGTCTGTGTGTGTGTGCGTGCGGTTTTTTCCAGTGTCTGAGGAGGAATGCGCTTCAGTTTTGTTCATCTATTCCCCCTAAAAAGCTTCCCAAAGCTAATGCTTACATGGTCTAAGGTCTGCCTCTCTTCTTCTGGCTCTTTTTTTCTGCACCTATGCCTTTTTTCGGTCATCCCGTCACACAGCTAGCCGGACTCCAATTGCTTTCTTGATTTGGTATGAAGACCTTCGAAGTTTGGTAGCTCGTGGCAAAAAGAGGTAGAAAAACATTTAACAGGCTCCCAAATGCGACAAATAAACAGGCTATGGGCGAGCCCATTTATAAATTCATGTATGCATGCATACGCATATATGTGCACGCATACTTGTACGCCGCAGAGGCTTCAGCGGGTAATCTAAGAGCTGCGGTCTACATGCCACAGCACCTGTAGTAGTCGTTTATACAGTAGGCCAGCATTCAGTTTGCTGGTGCTGCTTTTGCTGCAAGCGTAGCAGAACGTGTCTTCGGAACTCCTCCGCGTGCTCCATGAGCCGCTGCTGGAGCTTTATTTGCTCTCCTGCAGCAAGAAGATCCCTCGGAGGAATTGGGGGCTTGCCTACAGCAGGAGCAGACAACGCTACTTGCTCGGTCAAGCGGCTAGGAAACAGCAAGCTGAATCCACTGAAGGGCACCCGGTTGCTTTTATTATTTTGTTAGGAGTCATGCCACCTGCTGCCTTTACTGCTGCTTGCCTGCTGTCTTCCACTATTCTCAACGCTCATAGCTAACATAAGTGAATCATATGCGGTTTTTTGTCACGTGTCAGAGCCTCGGGGCCATATAGAAACAGCGATGGCCCTTAAGGCTTGCCTTGGGTGCTTGAAGTTGTGTAGCTTCCCCACCACTACATATGCAATTCTAATTGAATCGAACTAGCTTACCGAGCTGTTTGTGCCTGGAAAGAACGTTTCTAGCAGACTGCGATGCAACAATACTGGTGCTGAATTCTTGAACGCCACTAGTTGGGCCCAATGGAACAGCAGCACTCTTGCCAGCCACCACTTGTGTTCGTGCATCCTCAGAGTGTGGTTCCTCGCTCTGATTTGGTGCCCTGAAAACAGCAGCACTCAGCATGCAGCTTCTACATGAAGTTGGATACAAGTGCAGCCGTCACTGCTGCCGTTGGATCTGGTGAACCTGTTTATGGTTTGCTGTTAAATGTAGTTGGCAGTGGTGCAGTATCTGGTTCTTTGAGATGTCGAGTTCGGACGCGGAAGAGGAGTCCAGGATGGCTTCTGCTGACAGGACGTAGGCATACCCCGTCGGTACTGCAGGCAGATATCTCCGGGCTTCAATAGAAGCTTCATTGTCAACCTCGGAGGGTGCCTCATGTGGTAACAGAAGTGCCTCCAGCGATGGCTGCGGGGGCACGAAACTCTCGGCAATTACTTGAGGCAATAACATCCGCATGTGCACTTCGTGTTCATGCCCCTCCAATATCTGGCAACCTTCCGAATATCTGTCCTGCTTTGCAATATCTGCATTGCTTTCCTGAGCATTGCTAAATTTAGGGGATAAGCATTTGTCCCAAGAACATCCCAGATGCTCAGGGCTTTTGCGTCTGTCGTGAACCTCAGCCTCTTGGAGCAGAGCAGCAAACTCTGCATCACTACAGCTGCAAACGCTCCCATGCAGTGAGGCGCTTTGTCCCTTGGGGCATTCTTCTTTTGCACTGTGGTGGCAGTCCTGCGTCTCTGTCCTATCTGCTTCGTCTTTTTTGGCGAAAGCAGCGGCACTACTAGATTTATTTGCTGCAATCATCTCCGAAGCAGAGCGACTTTGGCGCCTGCTCATGAGGGAGGGAACATGTGACGAGATACACGCTTTTGCTTTTTGTGCCTTTTGAATAGGCGCAGGCCTCTCTGTTGATGGCGCCACAATAGAATTGCCATCAGGAGCTGTAACTGGTGTCAGGGACGCAGACCTCGAGGCTCCTGTGGCGGCATGAGCCAGCGATGCAGCACTTCGTGATCTCCCTGGTAGTCCCGGTTGCAGGCAGCCTTTCGTTGCAACTTCGCACCTTTCGTTCACAGTACGGCCGCAGGGGCTCAACAATGGTGGGGAGTGAGGGTGGTCATTTTGCTCCTCTAAAGTTTGCCTGACTACTGCAAATTCCTTGAGTGCAGCAGCCTTGCGTTTCTCCCTCAGGCGATGACGGGCTTGACTCCAGTGCCTCTGAATGATCCGTGCAGCAATGCTCAACACTGAGAGCGATGGCTGCAGTCCAAACATAACCAAGCCTGTTGGGTCGCCTGTGGGAGCGATTGAGCCCTTGCTTTTCGCTAGTGTTCCCGTTTTGACTGCATCTGCAGAGGCTAAATTCAACTCTCTGTGGAGAACGTCTGGTATGCAGGCGTTGGATTTGCGAGGGCAAGCAACTTCGTCCATGCACCAATTACTCGCGGGGTCTTTAGGAGTAAAGGAGCCTGAATCTTCACTGACGCTAAACTGAACGGACTCCGGGCTTGGAGTGTTGCTTGGAGGGCTCGACGCCTTCGGCGTGCCAGCGTCGCCTGCTGCTGCGATCAAAGTGCTGCTGCAAGAATGCTGATAAACTACCGACGGGGACTTCCCACTAGGCAGGGTAGTGCTGCCGGTGAGTATTGTGCTGATAGTTGGATTTTCGCTATTGTCTGTCAAACCTGCAAATGCTTTGCACCCGGTACTGCAGCTCGAGAGCTGAGGGCCATCTCTATACTCCAAAAGAAATTCAGCATTTTGCTGCGAATCTGACCCTTCGTGACGCCCCATATGGATGTCCAACCCTTGTTGCTGACCACAAGCTGTGAGCAACACAGGAGGCGCTGTATTCCGCTCTTCTAAGAGCTGAATTTGGTGGGTAGCGCACCCTTCAGCGGGCGCACCTTGAGGCCGCTCCGTAGGATATCTTGGGCTTTCCTCTGGCCTAATATGGCATTGTGTTGAATTAGAGGGGTCGTGTAACTGGGAGGCGTCGCGAGCTGTCCCAGTTCTAACCCTATAGACAGATTCTGGTTGAACGAGGAAGTTAGCTCGTGAGTAATCTTTCTGTAGAAACATGGCGCGACTTGAGTCACTGTGGGGTGCCTTTTGTTCCGAGAGGCTCGGTTGCAGGGGCTTCCCATCCTTGCAGTCTGGATGCATCTCGAGGCTACCAGGGCACCTAACGGGGCCTCGAGAACAAGGTGAAAGTGTACAGTAGCCAGGGACACAAGAGGGGGTGCGATGCAACTCTGGAAGCTCATTGCTGATGTCGGCGCTGCGGCTGGCGCGGTGCCTCGCAGCTGTTGAGGACTTGCTATCTTCATCCCAGCTGTTCCCATGGCTTGCCGCTAGCACCGCAACCGTTCGCCTCGAAGGCTTACACGCTCCGCAGCTGCAGTTATTGTGAAGCCCTGACTGCTCCTGTGTCCGCGTAAAAGGGTGAGCTGGACAACTACAGTGGACACTGCAAGGCGCAGCTTTCCGCAGAGTATTCAGAAATGCTTCCCTCTTGCATGTAGGCTGATGTTCGTGATAGGCATCAGCGTCTTGAATAACATTAGCTGATTCTGACTTGCATGGTTTCAATTGGTGACCGACAACAAATCTTCTAGGGCAACACCGGGTTTCTGCAGACCTCAGGGACCAGCTAAGACTGTTACTGTATAGCAATCTTTCATTTGAAGATGACTGTGTTGGTTTCCCCTCTATTTTGCGCGGGGTTTCTGTAGATGCATCTTGACCCCAGCAGGGTTGCTGTGAAGCACTAAGAATGCTTGGGCCTGGAGGATCCAGAGACGCTGGGAAACCACTGTGGGCTGCCCGCTCCTCCCATTGGTGAGGCAGCAAATCGGGCTGTGACTCTTCGTGTTTGCGTTCCTGAGAGGTACGAGTTGCGCTTTTTGTGCAGCTAGGCTTAACGGTCTCTAAGAAATACTTTGCCTCCGAAGGATGTTCCGGCAGCGGCATCGTCCGGTAAGCTGAAGTGGCATGAGCGGGCAGGCTGCCGCAATACTCGAAGAATTCTGTTTTGGAGCATGAATTACTGGAGAGGAGTTCCGGCTTGCCAGCTGGAGAGTGCAAGGTTCGCTGCTGCACGGCCTGTTCTCCGTTGCTCTCCGACAAAGGGAAGGCTGCGCCGAAAATTACTTGGCCTTGCCGTGCGCTGAGTTCTGAGCTCATACACTTAGAAGGAGAGGGCAGCGTCTTCGCAGCACTGGCAGGAGAGGCTGCTCCTACGAAGCTGCTATGGCCGCTCTCTACAGCGGGTGGCGACGGCCCCTGAGAGTGGTCTGAAGTGTGATACAAAAAGACACACACTGGCTCACAGAAGCTGTGGTATGCCTGCTAGCGCCTCTCGCAGAGGAAACGAACAGTACGACTGCCCCTGATGACTCATGATCTTTTTAGTACTAACGAGCAGCCAGCCTAGAGTGAGAAGTAGGCTTGCATTCGTCTATCGAGCAGAGCTCATCGCTTTCAGTCTTCGCTCCTTCAACAGCTTGCGTAGAGCATTGCATGTCCGATGCCTGTTAAGCGCAGTAGCATTTAAAAGACATATCGGCGGTGGTTGCTGTGCACATGCTAGTCACGCAGTGTTCCTCCGTATGTTGGAAACATTTGATCATTTCACGAGCAGCACGAGCAGCAGAGTTCGCTCGGCGTCAAGTGTCAATAAGAGCCGTTACCGGTTCATTCGAGTTTGTCTTGTCATCATCCTGGTGTAGATGTTTCAGGGTTTTATCTGGTGGCTCTTCTTCGCCTTGGAGCAGCTGTTGAACCTTTTCGGGTGCTTCTGGTCCGTCAAGAGGGTGCGCATAAACCAGCCGCAGCAGTAATGCCTTTTCTTCTCGCTCCCTTCTCAGGACAACACCCGCTTCATCCAGTGCCTAGCATCACAGCTCACACCCCGTCATTCTCCTTGGCACTGCCAGTGCCACAGTGAAAGAAAGGAAACACGCATAGTAAGTTGCAAACAGCTCCACATTTCGTGCTGCTCGTGCACCGCTCCATACTCTCTATCTAAATAATGTGCAAATCTACGCATGCATCAATACGATTCAGCCTCTTTATGTACGACAGTTTGGGCCAATCCTCCAAAAGATTTAGGGAATTGTGACGCAGGGTTTACTTTCAAACTGAAACCAACGAAAGGCCGCGCATGGCCGCCCATGGCATGGTGAGCTTACGTGTCCCATCCGGGCAGCTTTCGTCTCGAAATGCGCCTTTGACTTGCGGAGGACCTCAAGGCGTTGTGTAAGCTTTAGTAGCTCTTGCTGCTGCTTTTCACTCTGCTGCTGAGCTTGCGCATGATGCTGCTTGAGCTCTCCAATTTCCGTTTGTAAAGTTCGTATCTGCCGGTCTGCATACAAGCAGTTTCCGCTGACTCGCTTTCCATAAAACCGTCACAGAAATAGTGACCAGACTGCTCTGTCGAATGTGTACTAGTGTCTCTAAACACGATGGACTCAGAACTTAGATGCTCCCCTCCGCACCTTTCGCTCGCAACATCAGGCGCAGTCTCGCGCACTCCGCTACAGTTGAGTCAACCGCTGGATCTCTCGGCCGCGCTCTCGTTTCTTCTTGCATCTGATCAGCGTAGACTGGCCGCCTAGCAGCTGCGGATCGTAGCAGCACAAACACGCCACGGTCAGTGTCGGCTGTTGTGTAAAATGCAGCAGCACGTTACAAGAGACAAGAGCTGCAGCATTTACGTTTCCCCATGCGGGGTTCTGGTTCTGTGTACACATTGAGCCAGAAGTGCAAGCTCGTGCGGCACCTTTGCCAAGAGATGTAGAGAGCCCAACATTCTGAGAAATTTTGGCTTTTAGTGCTTGAAGTTCGGAACTCTGCTGGTGCAGCAATTGTTGCGCTGCTTCCAATTGACTCTGAAGCTCTTGCTTTTCTTTGCGTCCCACAGTAATCTCTTCCTGCGTTGCGCGTGCCACCTCCAGTCGTGTCGCCTCCAGGGCTTCCAGCTGCGTCACCGACATAGCTCTTAAAGGTTGCTCCGTGTAATTGCAATAGTAGCCATTCGTAATGTTGACGGATAGGGGCTGGTCACGCAAGGCATCCGACGCACCTTTTTAATTTTTTCTGTTGCTTCCTCTGTGACTCGTGCAAGCTGTTCGTTGCGGCTGCGATAGGCTGCATGCAAACGCAAGTTACCGTGCTGCAGAAAGAATCTTCTGCAAGCGGCAAAGTCAGAAGCAGCAATCCAAGAAGGCGAGCTGCAAAAACCCTGCAGAGTCTAAACCTGGTACTGAGCGCGAAAGAATTACATGCAGCCAGCCGAACAAGTTGCATATGCTTTGCTTCGAGAGTCCGAAATTTTTCTCTCAAGGATTGCTCTGCCTGAAACGCAGAATCATAATCACTGTGACAAATGTTCCAGTCTTGTCTTGTTTCATATGATCATCGCACAGACCCTCTGGCGCACTTGACACGCTTCGCAAGCCACAGCTCGTGAAGAGGAGTAGCACAACGTGATGGCGATATAAAGCAAGAATGCATGGATAGGGTTTGGATAAGGTCACGTTTGACTGGGTCGCCTACAGGGTCGTGATGGCAGTGAGAGCTCAATGAGGACTGCCTGCAAGAAACTGGCTTTCCAGGGGCTGTCAGATGGCTGTGTGTAGCCGACGGATCAAACAAAATTTGCTGGAAGGGTTTCTCCGCCTTGGTCACGTCTGTCCCTGCGACCGCTGGCTGGTTTGCAGGAGTTTTGGAGGGCTCAGCCTCTGGTTGGTTGGCAACACCGCCAGCGCGGCTTCCGCAGTGGGAGCCGCGTGAAAGAATTCTTGCCATTCCCTGCAGTTAGTTGGAATGCTGAGCGCCAGTTTGAGTTGCTTATTCTGCTAAAGTCTCCCTTGTGCTTACAAGAAACACGTTAAGGGAATTTTCTCGATGACTGCACACAAGCAGCGCTGAATTACTACTCTCTGGCAGTGTGAGGAAGTAGCCAGAGAAACGTTTATGCTCGACATGCTTCGCTCACGTTGCTGTATGTGCGGCTTGTGCTAGACTTGTGTCGGTTGCAGTTTGTATACGCCTCATGGGTAGGCATCCTCTGCCGAGACAACAGTAGATAGATATTTAAGCAACCCGCTTTTCCGAGGCTCCTACAGCATTGCTATTCTAGTCTAAGTCATACTCAAAATCTTGTCCTTTTAACAACACCAGTATATGAACAATGTGGAGACTGGGGTCTGTTTGTTTGGTAGCACTGTTGAGGCGTAGCCAGGAGACTCTAACCTTCAACGCCGTCCACCTTTTAAAAGAAAGGCAACAACCAGTGTAAGGTGATAGACTTCAGAGGCTCGCGTCTTGGATTCCTGGTGACGGAGACGCAGGTTTACAGCGTCGGATACTGGAGCCAGCGGAGCCTCTGCTTATCAACCGTTACGTTTGCAGTGTGACTCTTCCGCAGTTCATATGAAAATTGATAGATCGACGCAAACTCTTCGTTTTCGCGGTGGATCTAGCGTGGACGTCCTAGATTATCAAGCTGAGGGCGGCAGCACCATCTATTGAATGAGCTGATGTGAGCCCACGCCGTTGCCCTGGGGAAAAGCTGACCCTACAACGAATGGAGAAGGGAGACTTTCGCGAGTTGTTTCATCCCAATTAAAGTATAACAAATATCCTAAGTGTCGACGCCTGTTTAGGCTCCTTGGCAGGGGTGTGCATCTTCGGCCATTGACTGCTATCTACTTCTCCGTATTATATGCAGCCCTAAAACAAAACTTCGAAACAAAATTTTGCCACCGCAGCTCGGACTGAGCTCAACGCAGCTCTTCAGTAAGCGAGAGACAAGCACAGCGTCGTGCCACACACACTCCGAATGGTCGCCACAAAATCCACTCTACTCTAGTCCGAACCCCAAGGCGCTTATGAAGGAAAACAGAAGAAAATGCGTGCTGAGACAAAGTGAAAACCTAGCAAGGGGCTGCTTTAACGAAAGAAAGACACAGAGAGGGTCGCCCGTTATCTGCATCGACCAAGAAGGCTGTGCTGGCCAGGTCACCCCTTTGAATTCAAAGATGATAGCCGTCGGCACACTGAAAAGATGGAGCTACCTATCTGTATATAACATACTCACAATTATTGAGGAACATATTTGTAGGAAATCAAGACAATTTTACGAGATGTAATGGATATGCTCGCTGTAATCAATTGGGCCATCGGCAGTAATTCGTGTCTCCATAATTCCTAGGGATAACCTGGCTCTTGAGTACACAAAATGAGAAAATTTTGTTCCAAAGACTAGTTCTTAATGTTTCACGTTATGTAATCTCCAGCCTCTTCCTCAGATTTAGGTCGCCTAGCCGTCCTATGGAACTTTAACTAAGGCACCTCTCACGATGCCTGCTACTAAGCTCTTCATTTCAAGCGCCGCTGCCAGGACGGTGCATTAAATGGCTCTTCTAAACTTAGGGCAGTCTCCTTGTTCTCGCGCCGTTGCTTCGGGACAGGACTACTACATGCTCTGACATGAAGCATCTGCACGGAATACCGACTATAAACCTTTTCAGTGTGAAAGCACTTCAGGCTTTTAAACCATCCGTCAAAAGACACTAGCACTCATGGCTGGGTAGATGACAGGCACTGGTATGGAATGGTATACTTTCACAAATGGCACCCAGGCTCAACTATGAGCCGTGGGAACTATCGTTCTAGCTCCAAAGCTCTAACTAATGTTGCATTCCTGCATGCTTCTAGCCACTATGGCCCCTTAACGCATATATGCATGCATTGGGCAGCAGATCGTCTGGCTACGTGCATTTTAGGTCTCTGCTGCCAATTCCATAATTTTGGTGTTCTGCTTCTGAAAGGCTCCCCCATGTGCACATAATAGCGAAGCACTAAAACCTTGTCAAGATCTTTGCTAATCTCATGGGTGCATGAAGGAAAGTAGCTAGAGAGGCGCATGAAGCTAGGGACTTACATCAGGAACACGCACTACACGCAAGTCATCCACCAGTGTCGCCGAAGACAAAGCTTTGTATATGTTTTAACAAACCTGCAGCTGGTAGCAATCGGCGGCAACGAATATGCCTACTCGGAATTCAACAGAATGCCCGCAGCCCCCTTTGTCCAATTAGTGCGAGTATGAGACAGGAGAGAGCAAACATTGCTTTAACGATTGCAAGAGGAACTTGCGTGCTGTGTGGAATGAAGGACACGATACCAACGAGTTGGAGTGAGCCATATTTGCACAAATGCATGGTTGAGGGGATCTATTGCCTTGGGGCTTTAAGGTTATATTATGGTTTAATGCGCAAGTATGCGAAGGGCATAGTTTTGACTCGCAATTTAAGTTTTCTTCAGCAGATAAATTAATTCTAATAGTAGTTACATACCAGGCCTAGCAGAACATGCAAGGGCCCTCTCAAAATGTCGTGACGCTTCATTTTGGCCTTGTGCTCACTATCGCCAGCGCTAGAAAAAACGTCTGCCTTGCCAGGCTCAGTATCACAACCATGTTGGGGAACAGTTCCATAAAACTATTGTACTGAATTTCAGTTCATCCCCTACTGCCTGGTAAGGGACGTTGCGACTGCTTTTCTCCACAAATCCATGCCTTCTCTCCACCGTCTCATTATGGAGCGCTCTGATAATCAAACACAGGCAAATGGAATTCCCACTGATGAGTGAATTACAGCGTTCTCAAGAACTCTGCCGCAACATGGCCATTTTGTGACGTGTCAGCAGGGCTAACAGACCTGCTGCAAGCAATTCATCGAGAAGGTGATTGTACTCTGCTCTTTCCGCGACCTTTTTGCGGATCCTGCAGAACTCCAGGAAAAGAAATGCTGCATTGTCCGCGATTGCACTGGCGGATAAGATAGGGGCCTCTTAATTTGCGGGTACAATAACAACAGTTCCTGGGGAGTAGTTAACCCAGCAAGATTCCTGTGTCAGCCTACTTGGCTATGCGCAAAGCGAAGTCTTTTTCCAAGATTGACACTCTTTGTTGCACTTCTTCCTCTACAGTACGTGCCCAAGCTGCTTCAGCCTCAGCACGTTCTGCAGACTCTCGCTGAAAAAGCAGAAAACAAGGTGGGCCCGCCATCGTGTACATTGAAGCAGGTACATTGAAGCACGCTTCAAGAAAAGGGAAATGATACGTATTGCATGTATGAGAGTGCGCGCACTTGAGCCTCAGCCTTGCATGCCGCGATCTCGGCGTCCTTCTTCCTGCAAGAGTCTTCTAGCTGCCTCTGGGTAAGTTGCAAGGACTGATACACGCAATCAACAAAACTCGTAACTGTGTTTCAGTCAGTGCAATCCCGCTCCTAGCCATTAGGTGTTAAATTCATTCAGTTTCTTGAGTTTCCTCCGTTAACGCAGAGGGCTATTTACTAACCTGCAGCAGCTTCTTGCAGTTTGCTAGCTCCTGCTGCTGGCCGCTTAGTTCCAGAGTGTCTCGTTGCCTCTTTGCAACCTCAACTTCGTAGTGTCGCTGCACGTCTTTCATCTTTGCTTCCATTTGTGCAAACTTTTCTGCCCATTCCTGAAAGGCAGCACAATTATTATAGGTGCATCACGTTGCCTGATAACCGACGAGGGATGTGGTGCTGCTTCTATGTTGCTGACCAGCAGTGCCATGCCCGTTGCAGTGTATATGCTGTTGCATCGTTGGCTGCAAGCAGGATTTTACTATCGTCCCGCGTAAGAAAGCCCGTCAAGATTCACATACTTTTTCCTTCGCCGCTCCATCTGCAGCTGTAAGTGCACATTGCTTCTGCATGCAGAAACAGTCACCACTGCTACAAAAATAATCACTTCTTCTTCAAGTCTCCGCTGAATCTCTTTTTAGCCCAGGATCGACGAAACTTGTCTAACGCCAAGTGGACACCTACTTTTGCTTCCTCGAGACGAGAGCACAGCTGCGCAAAAAAACACAGCCGCAGCTTACTGGCCTTTTTTCGCACAAATGACGCAATTATGAGGTGCGACTGCACTCTAAGTACCTCTGCAGCCGGACTTATTTTACTGGTGGCACGCAACGCGTGTCGGGTAATGGTGCTATCCGTGTTAAAACATACTTCTTCATTCCGGACTCGAGTTAGGTGTAGTGTCCTCGTAGCCTCCATTAGCTGAGTCCGCAGCTGCCTCTTCTTTGACACCGCTGCCTCGTGTTGCTGCTGTGTCTCCTGAAGCTCTAGTCGCACACGGTGAAGGATTTCTTTCTCAGTCGAATCTTTATGTTTGAGCTCTTTTCGGAGCGCATCCAAAGTAGCCTCTAGCTGCAAGTACAAAGCGAACAGCCCCAGTCGACACAATTACATAGGTCTTACGGGAAAATATATTTTGCAAGGGCACGTAAGTATAACCAAAAATATCCGCAACTCTGCACAGTTAAGGCCCTGACAAGCTATGCATCATGTGCCTAGTGCCGTAAAAGGCAGCGCCAGTAGCCCTTCGGCGGTCGTACTTCCTCATTGAGGCATTGTGTTCTAAGGAGGGACGTTTCCTGGTTTTTTGATTGCTGTTCCATCGCTGCAACTGTCGCTTCGAATTCGGCAGCTTGCAGTTGATGCGACTCCTACAAAGCATGGGGATCGTACACAGTACTGTGTGTGCAACTCCTTTTCGTCGTTGGATTATTCAGGGTCTGGTGGAAAATTTAATTGCTTTCACCATGTGCTGGCTCAAGCTTGCCTTGATGCTCTCTGCTTGGCGCAACAGTTCTTGCACCCTGCTAGACAGTGCGCTGCTCTCTTCACGCGCGCGCCTTAGTGCCTCTGCCTGCCTCCACTCAGTTTCTTTCATCAGCTGAAGCTCTATTGAGAGCCGTTGGCTGTGGTCTGTCGCTGCATCCAACTCCATTTTGAGTTTCTGTTTCTCGGCAAGCGAATCCGTCAAGTCCTCCAGATGCTTCTTAGAGTCGCTTTCGAGCTCCTTTGTTATCTTAACGTTTTCAGATTCTAAGCGCGCAACCTCTTCCAGTCGTCGCTGTGCCTCATATTCAAAGCGCCGCGCTTCCTCAATGGCAAGCCTTAGCTGCTCAGCTTTCTGGGAGTCCCGCTGATTGGCCTGATGAGACAGGATAGCCAGGAAGTTGCAGTTCCTTCGAAGCTAGCTTGATCTTTTATGAACTTTGCTCCCACGGTGCCCCCATTCTTGAAGACAGGCATTAAACCAAAGTTGCGGCAAGACCGTGACGTTGAGCAATACAACTTCCTACCGATCTGAGGTCCGCTGCGAGCACTACAATTTCGTTGGCCTGCTTCTCTATCTCGTGCCTGAGAGACTTCTTTTCCGCCATCACTGTATTCAATTGCATTATTGTTTCTGCATGTTTCTCCTGATGTCACCAGAGACAAGAATCGGTTTCACGTGAAAATGCTCAACAGGGTTTGTGCCTCTTCCCTGTGTTGCGAAAGCTAAGGAGCCGCCCACTGCACGATCTCTGTTCCACCTCTAAGTTTACTACCATACTTCGACTTGCGTTGTCTCACTGCGGCACAAAAGAGCTGCGAAGGCGCAGGCTCACAGTGATTTCTTTGATCCGATTTTCTTCAAGAACCAGTCTTGCTCGCATCCGGTCACATTCTGTTTCAAAAGGAAGAAGTCTCCTTCTCTCCTCCTCAAGCTTCAGGACATTAGAGCAAAAATTGAATATACAATACATAAGAGTCTCATGGCATCCAGCTGATGCATACTGCTTTTTACCAATGACAAGAGCTGCCCTGATTCTGCTGCGATATCCGTAAACGCTGACCCAGGAATTTCTCTCAGAGACTTCTTGGAACGCTTTAATGGCCTCCTGAGCCTCGTGTAGCTCCTTCAGAAGCTTTGAGCTTTGACGCCGCGCAACCTCAGCTTCCCGCTGAGGACATAGCTCAAAAAATAAGAGGATATCTATTTCGTTCCAGTGACATCAGGATAAAGAGCTGCATCCAACCCTCTCAAACATTCCACGCCAGCAAAGTCGCTCTTTTGGCTGCACTTCAATTTATTTGGAGCACCTGAATTAGCATGATTTGCTTCTCATTTTCAGAGAACGCTTTGAGTTCTTCCTCCATACGCATAATTTGTTCTCTGTCGACCGCGTGAATCTGCCGAGAGCGTTCCAAGGCGGCTGTAGCTTGGTCAAAATCTTTCTGCACGGAGCGTAGCTTTCCCAAATCTTGTTGTAAAGCAGCAATATGGGCCTATACATTATTAAGAGTTGCACAGGTAGCACACAAAAACAGGAGTGCCACCAAGTGAAGGCAGAGCATGGCAGAGGCAACTGAGAGGTAAGAAATTTCATGTGCATTATTATCTCTGCAAAAGCAGAGGAGTGGGCGTTACATTATCCTTTGACAGATACAACGGAGTACGGAGTCACGGCAATGCACCTTCTTGCCCGTCGCCAGTAAGGACACAAGGAAAATGGGATATGTTGTCTTCTACCTGCTGAGAGACGGTAGTGGCTCTCAAATAAGCACTAACGCTTGGTGTTTAGTTTATCTGACTAGTCGAAATACCATAGCCTGAGTGTATTCCTGTCGTAGGTGACTGTTTTCTTTCATGAGGTCAATGCGATCGCTCGCTGCTAGTCCAGCCTCGGCTTTGGCCATGGAAAGCTGCTTGCGTGCTGCTGCAAGCTCCACTGCAGCTGAATCAGACGATTGTCGGATGGCGTCATATTGCTCAGACAGTTTGGCAACTTCAGCCGTTTGCTGCATGTATTGTTTTCGCACAGTCGAAAGTTCTTGCGCTGCAGGGAGTTTGACAAACGGGAAAAGACAGGGACTTGAGATAGTAATATCTTAATTTTAGCTGTTCTACATTACGTGGTATAGTACGTTTTCAGAGTCAGCTTTCCCGCATTAATTGTGAGCACTCGATTATGCACCCCAATTAAGGACACGCGAGAGCTTGCCTTGATCAGTAATATCGCGAGAAAGAGTCCTGTTGGATTCGCGCAAAGCTGCAAGCTGGTGCTGCAAAGCTTCTACTTGAATGAGAGGACGAGAGCCCTCGTCAGCAACATACTGGGAAGCTTGAGTGACATCCTCGTGCTCAGTTGGCTGCATGAAATTCAGCGCCTTCGGAATCAACTAGTGGCGCTATGGCGGAGCAGATCATAAAGAGCACTTTGCGAGAGGAAACAAAAAGGAGTTGTACTCTCACCGACAGTGTTCGGTAGGTTTCCTCCACAACGTAGGCGTGCGGCGCATCAGTGTATACTGGATCGTGCAGTGATGGGCTTCTTTTGCGGCGGTGCGTCAAAGATCTGAAGCTCCAATTGGGCAACCGAGAGAAAAAGGAGTTGCTTCCGTGGAAATGATGACGAGCAGACACAGTCCGGGTAGGCCTGGGACCGCGTGAATAGTACCAGGAGGCCTGCGGCCTGTCGCAGACTTCTGTGGTGGTGTGTTGCATTTTCAAACTAGTTTCAGGAAATTGCTTGCAGCACTTCAACCAGCATCCAGTCCGCCTAAGTTTAACTCAGGAAAAGCGGCTGAGCACTTTTACGCCTATTAAGCCTCCGCTTGAGCACTCCTGGCTAAAGAAGAGATAGGGACCTCTCGGAAGTGCTGAAGGACCACCATATACTTTCCTACATTGTGGTCTTCTCTGTGCAAAGAAAGTGTCGCTCTGAGAAATGCTTTTGCACCGTGAAGCTTTTGAGCGGGAACAGTTATGCATATGCGCCGTAGTTTTACGTAGGCAGCTGCTGTAGAGACACTCAAGGGGATGGCGTAAACTATTGAGAGAGCATCTCTATGGTTGAAGCAGGGTAATTAGCGTAGAACAAGGAAGGCTCGTCCCAAGCAAGCTGGTATCCGATTTATTCGCTTTGGACAAGCGAAAAATTGGTCTCGAAAGAGACGCGACAGCAGCAGCTGCGTATCCGAAAAATCTACTCCGTGCCTACATCTGGCAAGACAATGATGCTGCTCTGGCGCCCTTCAGCTCTACTATATCCTTTTGGAGAAATCACCATCCACTGAGCTGCTGAATTTTGAACTCCTGGGAGCAGCGGACTCCGACGTCCCTAATGGCGGAAGAATCAGGTCAGGTAATCAGTACTCAACTAGGCATTCTGTTTCCAAGGCGCCTCAAATGTGCTTCTGCATCAAAGCAAAGACACTGGCTCCTGAAATAGAAGAGAAATGGAATCGGCGATTTTTTTGGCTTTAAGAAGCAAGCGTAGAAGAGAGGCAAGATCTCATGTTCATAGCTGATGCGATGTTGACCTGCTGACACCTGCACACCTGAGCAGCACGGCGTCGGCTAGAAGCTTCCGCTGCCAATGCAAAAATTGACCTTCGCTTGCTTAGATCTATGTCGCCGTGTCCTTTTAAGGCCTGGTACTTTGTAAATGTTACGGTCATTAAGGCTGGCTAAAGCGACGAATTCTTAAAAGGGTCACCACACGGGGCTTTGGCTCGGTCTTTGAGGCAAGAAGCCCTACTCCCTTAGGGTTACATCTGACCTTTTGAAAGCCTAGATTATCTAGGCATCTGAATTTTAGGTAAATCGCTTCGAATATATGTCAGTTTGTTTCTCCCCCGTGGCTGAACATAAAACCCAACTTTCAACAGCATATTGCGTTACTTTGGTGACCGCGAACTTACAAATTGCCTCGCATATACTCATATGCCATGAAATAATAAAAATATTGATTAATGCGCTATAGAGCGACTGTCATATGCATGCTGGTGCCAACGGCTCCGTGCTATATTGTCATTTGAGCTGCGGTCTGAAGAGCTGACACCAGGGGTAGCCTTCGCTAGGATCGTCCACAGCTTCGAAACAACATAATTGCCGCTTGCTCCGTAAACTAAACGACCTTTTAGCTTAACTAAGTAGGTATCAATTCCAAGTTTGAGTTTCCTCCCAGAATTTGCTTGCCGATAGACGCATGAGCCAGTATGGTGCAGCCCGTTCTTGGAGATCGGGCAGGGCCTCAGCGCATGTCACTGCATTCGGCAGTACATTGTCTATTGAGGCAACAAGTTGGTTTCTTCTTTTTGGCTGGTCTGGAAATGCAACAGCTGGCTGCTCGCAGACTTTTAATCTGCTTCACATTCGCATGAGTCAGGTGCTCGACACACGAGTTGACAGCCTACTGGGAAGCAAAAGTTAACTAGCAATGCGGCTGTACCACAAGCGAAACGCGCTTTTGTATTTATGTAAGGATAACGCTAATTGGGAAGAAATGCAATTTACTCGATGTTCCAATAGCTGCTAGAGCAACTTTTCTACATCAACAACGGCCGCTCCCACGTAGTGGCGAAACTTATGAACGTAGGTTTCAAAGAAAAAGCAAATAAGCCAGAATTCATGAGTGATGAATCCAAGTGCTCGAGACTGGTTGTGAAGTTGGCAAACACACTTAAAAAGGCCTGGAAAATCGCGTCAGGGGTTTCTAAAATCAGCTTTCTTTCCAGGCGCACATGAAAGCCTGGAGAGCAAAACTATGTACTAGCTCTGTGATTCAAATGCATCGGCTTTTGCTTCATGTGCACATTCAAGCCTGAATTGTCCAAGCAAAAAACAGAAACAGATTTTACAGAGCACTGGGGTGCAACTAGACACAGCGGAAGGGCAAATGTGCTCCTAGGCACGCCAACCATTTGGGCTCCTGGGTTAGAGCCGTCTAAGGGGAAATGCCTCTTCGTGGCGTCCATGTTCTCATTATGCTCCCGCATAGTAGAAAAAACAAATTAATCTCTTCGGCCTCTATTTACTCAGCAGAAACACTGATGAGAGTACTGAAACTACTGCCTAAGAGCAAGAAATGCCAGTTCGTGGTTTCGACGTATCTACGCCACTGCTGCGCTGCTACTGAGGCCTCCGATACTTTGCAGGCCCCTCTGAAGGGCAGCTGCATATTCATTAATGGCCTGAAAAAAATTGTCCCGAAAAAAATGTGCCTCGCTTAGACGCGCATGAACGGGTGCATCCAGATCAAACAGCAACAGACACTTAGTGGGCTCTTCAGTCTGTTTTCTTGAGTATTCTTCCCCAAATTTACCTGCAGAATTTCGTCATCAGCCTCTTGCCGGGCTCTCGTAGCGGCGGCGAGGCCAGTACGAAGCTCCTCCAGCTCCTCCTTCACAAAAGTGTGAAATTGCTCTCGCGGTTGATTACCTCTGCGGCACACTACAAATATTACCTGTACGGCACGCTAACAAGTATGTTTCTTGCATGCCGCTGAAGAATGCTGATGTGCTTGCCTAATGCGGTGATGGTGGTAGTTCTACCTGAGCAATATGCCAACATCCTTTTTGATGGCTGTAATTTGCTGGTGACGAGCCGCGATTT